ATTATAAATATATACCATTATATGGTACTTTTTTTGAAAAAAGTAGGTAAAAAAAATTTTTTCTTCAGGACACAGCGGGCGAATTTTAATGCGCGTCTGATAAAAATTTTTATTTTATCCATGAATTCATACTATTTGGTTCATAAGCAAGTAAAGATTATTATTTTAGAATTTATTTAGAGTTCCTGGCACATCATGCTACCATAATTTGTATTTTTTCTTCAATTAATTTTGAACTCTATGTGTACATACATAAGGTTCAAAATAGTTTGATTACATTGTATTAATGAAAATATCATAAGAAGAAAGCACTAAATAAAGAACTTAAATTTGTCTAAACGTCTAATGATTATTATTATCATTTTAATTAACATTTTTATTTCTACATACTATTACTATTGTACCAGTGATAACGGAAAGGTAAGTGTGAGGAAAGTGAGGATTGATATTATCGTAGTACGGGAGATTATTTTTAACACAAAGGCTACGGCTGTGACCATTATAGTTGTTTTTTCAGACAGCACCAGCTTCTGCACTACTTCTTGCACTTATATCTCACCATTTCCAGGCAAGCTTCGGCAGCTACGGGCAAATCGGTCCATGTAGGCTCCATGTTGCTATCGACTCTGGTCCACACCCAACCAGTCGGATAAAGGGAAGACTGAGTCGGTTGCTTGCAACTGATCCTATACGCTTACCCCTTGATATCCTGCCAGTAGCCAATGCTGATACAAAGCTGTCTGGGTTATTTTATGTAGGGTCACACCTAAGCGTAGTCCACAGCGACCCATTAGGATCTTTATTCTCCCTTTTTTATTCCCTATCATCACAAAAAATCCTATCCATTAGATAAGTGAATTAAGCGTCTGAGTGAAAGCCACCTAATAGTCTTCTGATGCCGGATATGCTGACCCAAGCAGATCCATCCTTACAGTATTAAGTGTTTCATGGACTCCACATTGTATTCCACATGCTCGAGAGCTTCTGTTGTTAGGCCCATTTTGTGGGACATGTGATTCATTCCATAATGCCCAGTTTGCGTACCTGTAATTGCTTGGGCATACCTTTAAAAAGTTTTCTTCATGACCCTGTATTTCCCTTTAGGAATGATTTGGAGAGGCTTATATCGTTGGAGCTTTCCCATTCAGCCCTGTTATTCTTGGATATGGCCATATTGTGGCCATGAGGTACCTAAGCTTTTAGATAAAGGTACTACTATCAGTTCTGACCTATGTTGCCCCATCTAGGGGACATAGGACCATAATTCAAAAATCAGTTCTGACCCAATAGGTATCGTCTCTGACCCTTGTCTCGCTAGACTGTCGGCTCTCTCATTGCATTCGATCCGTGTATGTCCAGGTATCCCACATTAGGGACACTTAGTCATGCCTCCAGAGTTTGTTCATCTTTAAGATTGCATCTAGAATACCTAATTCTAGACTCAACCTTCACTGAGGCGATGGCTTTGTTTGAGTGCTGCCTGGCTGTGGCTAAGGATGTAAATATTGCGTTTCTTACACCCCTGTTTTTAGTGCACACATAATTATAGCGTAGAATTCAGCTTGAAATACTGTAGCAAACCTCCTTAAACGTTCACTGTGTTTATTACTACATGCTTGACTATGAACGAGTGCTGTAAGTGGCCACCAACCTAGGCAGTTTTGTATCAGTATATCAAGGGCAGTAATTATGTCCTTATGATTTTTTCAAATTATTTAAAATTTAGTTGGTTCAAGGGGTTCGCGTATAGGGTCAGTTGCAAGCAACCGACTCAGTCTTCCCTTTACCCGACTGGTTGGGGGTGGACCAGAATCGATAGCAACATGGAGCCTACATGGACCAATTGCCCGTAGCTGCCGAAGCTTGCCTGGAAAGAAGTAGTGCAGAAGCTGGTGCTGTCTGAAAAAACAACTATAATGGTCACAGCCGTAGCCTTTGTGTTAAAAATAATCTCCCGTACTATGATAATATCAATCCTCTCTTTCCTCACACTTACCTTTCCGTTATCACTGGTACAATAGTATATAGAAATAAAAATGTTAATTAAAATAATAATAATAATCATTAGACGTTTAGACAAATTCAAGTTCTTTATTTAGTGCTTTCTTCTTATGATATTTTCATTAATACAATGTAATTAAACTATTTTCAACCTTATGTCTTACACATAGAGTTCAAAATTAATTGAAGAAAAAATACAAATCATGGTAGCATGATGTGCCAGGAACTCTAAATAAATTCTAAAATAATAATCTTTACTTGCTTATGAACCAAATAGTATGAATTCATGGATAAAATAAATATTTTTTTCCGACGCGCATTAAAATTCGCCCGCTGTGTCCTGAAGAAAAATTTTTTTTCACCTACTTTTTTCAACAAAAGTACCATATAATGGTATATATTTATAATTCTGATAAATGTAGCTTTCAGGATATATTTTTTTTATTAGATTATCTAAAGTGATTTAAAAGTAAACGACGTTTATTTAAAAAAATACTTTTTGGTTTTTGTGAATTTTACTCCATATTTCAATTTTTTTGTATGAAAAGGCAAAAAGTTTGTTTTAGAAATGAATTCGCCATCCTTTAATTATCCGAAAATGACACCACACTTGCCCTAATACCCATAGTTTTGAAGATATGGGCCTTAAAGTGAAGCGCGGCAGAAGGAAACTTGCCCCCCCTCCCCCTGCTACCACAGGGGGGGCTCCCGATGTCTACCGACGGAAATCTACTCAGGAGCACCCAAAGAACAACTGGTGCAAAAATGAGCCTTCTATACCAAAGTGGAGGGGTCTCCATACAAATCATTACACTAAATTCCCTACTACAACGTAAATGTGCGAGAAAAAAAAAACTTAAATTCAACTTCAGTGTGCTTACTATGAGACTGAGTTTACGTTAGGTGTGCTCGCTAGTTGTGTCGCTAGTGACTACGTAAAATAATTACAATAAATGAATGACAAATTGTACAGCGCCCCTAGCGGCTACCTTCAAGAACTAAAATCTTCATAGAATTTATGACACAGTCGCTAGTGAGCACACCTAACGTAAACTCATGGTAAGCACACAGAGGTCGTACTTTGGAGTTTGGATTACCAGCTTTTTTAAATTATTAATCTAAAGTTCTAAGCTCAAAACTCTGATGATATTATTAACGCGCTTTTGTCTTCATTAGTCAAAACACGAAGGCAGACCTAGTTAATTAACCGAAATTTAATACAGGCACGTTGGAAGCCTAATAATCCTCAATATCCATGGTGAGTCACACTCCCATGGTGATGTCATCGACCGAGGGAGGGTTTGCCAAAATTTGGGGTGCAGCCGAATTAGCATTAGTTTCCAGGAATAAAGTAATAAGTATTTTAAATGGCCTGTCTGCGGTTTTAATTTAATGGTAGGTATGGCTGGGGTTTGTGAAATATTTGAAAAAGGCTGACAATAAAATAATATCCTTGGACATTTTTACACTGCGCCATCTAGTCCCAAACTAAGCAGACAATCGTTCTTTACTGTGAGTGTCTCGCATTGTTTTAGGTGGTGAGTGGTGATACTAACAAAAAAAAAACTCAATGAAGAATGGAATAAATAAATTATCACCGGGCAATCTTCAAATTTCACTGTCCACCGTGTCTCGTTAAACACTCGACATTGGCGAAACCAGTGTGCTTCAAATACGCACCATTGAAGCCATTAAACAGAATAATAATAATAAGCAGACAATAGTGGCTGAGTCAAGGCAAGAGTAAATAAGCACTTACAAAGCAGATAATGTACCACCCACAGCATCTCACTTAACAAAGTTAACATCAGGTGCGATTGCGGTCAAATATCTGGCACTGCTTCTTCGCACCAATGGTTATTCTTGCTAACATTATTATCTCAAATCTAAAGATTTAAATGAAACAGGGACGTAAAAGCCTTATTTGACTATAAACTTCTCAAAAAACCTAATTTTATTTTTGCAAGTAGGCTTTGCACTTTTAACATCCCAGTACTAATCCAATTCCTTTAACTTTCAATTAGTTATTTATTGTGTTTGGAAGTAGGTAGGTAAGTAAGTGAATCTATTTACACTTGACCTAGCGAAAGTTTACATAAACCGTATTTAAATTCAGTCTGTCCCTTGCTAGTAATTAGCGGTCTGATACACGGACATAATGTACATATACGTGAGTAAAATGAATTAATTAGAAATCAGAATGGGTAGACTATTGTTTTCGTGAAACATTAAAATGTTCACTTTCTCATAGCACTTTCTCTGTTCGCAGATCTTACACTGTTTTGCCAAATGGAGGAAAAAGTGCTTTTAGTGGAATATTCCGTCTTTTGGTCTTCTTATACATAATGTATCACAGACACGTAGGACTGACGTAATATTACAGGTTTACCTACTCACATTACAGGCTTTTGCAAAATGACCACTTCACAAAATGCGCACTTTTCTATACAAATTTAAATGCTGAAGAGTTTGTTTATCAAATGTGCATATTCTGCATCATAACCCCCTCAATTTCCCCTTGTTTTATGAAAAGCACTTTAATAATAGAATATTTTCTAGATCTTCAATAACAACAGTCAGATTTCAAGACATGATGTATTTTTTAACGGCAGTACACTACACATGACTGTACATACAAATAACAGCAGATCATGGTTGACACGTAAGTATCTTAATGCTTATGTTAGTACCTAGTAATTAGTTGCTGTTTGGCAACAAATTTTGAATCTTATGTACAGTTGACTGTGCAGTTATCAGCGTTTCAAGCACATATTTCTTGCAAAATCGCATTTATAACAACTGCATAAGGTTCAACAACATACAGCTTGATATGCCGTAAAGCTGTATCATAGACAACGGCGATGTTCAGATCCGTTGCTTTGTAGCGCGTTTATTTATTGCGACTTCCTCCATAACTGCATCGCATTGACGGCGCATGCGTGTCAACGCATATAGCGAGCTAGGGCTGTCGACTATGTTTGGAGTCAAAGCAGGCTGGCTGGCTGATCAGTATGATGAACAGGTATGAAAGTAAGCACATTACCATAACTATGTATAGTTTTTCCCTTTGTTCATTTCGTGTGTATTTTCGTGTCAAATAAAGATTTTCTATTCTATTATATTACTCCGATTTGGTACCGGCTAAACTATCGGACGATAAAGTCTATAGCTTGTGGGGACTTAAAATGACATTTTAAGGAGAAGGATTCACTGAGCGATTGCCCAATGCCCTGCCAATAAGGGATCGAGCACCACCAGTCAATTGATGCTTTTTTATACCTGTTAAAATCGCTCTTAGTATATTCTTCTAATCTAAGGAAATATCTACATACGTTTGACGATGACGATTATTATAGATTCTTCAAAGTAACAAGATACCTACCTACTAAGTCTGTGCTTAAGTATAGTAGTTATTCAGCTCAATACAGTCAATGCACATAAAAAAAAACATTAATGTCAGTAAATCTCTTTAATTTAGGTATAATTAAAAAACCGTTACGTAGTAAGTAGGGTAAGTACGTTGGTTCTCGTCCAATTAGCGGAGTTGCCAGCTTTGTGATGCGAAATGAATATCTTGAAATACCCTTACATATATGTATCATATGTCGTTTTAGTCCTTATATAGTCTACTTTACGTTAATATTACATAAGAATAAGTAAATATCACGGTTTTTTTTCTAAAAAATATTTTATGCAAAAGAGGCGATTTCGCTAGTTTTCGTCCAAAAAAATTGGTTTTCGTCCTAGTGTAAGCTAGTTTTCGACCACTGTGTAGAAAAAAGAGTGCAGTTGCATTATTGAGTTAAAACCAATTCTACAATACAGTAACTATGCATTGTGGTATATCATTTGAAAGGTAATTTTGTTAGCTTTCAAATGATATCAAAAAGATATAAATAAGTTTCTTACCTAAATTTAGGAAAATATTGCAATAGGTCGAAGGACAAATGGACGAAAACTAATCTACAGGAATAGCTAATTTTGGTTTTCGTCCACCCCAGTGCTTGCTCATGACGTCATGGACGAAAACACAACAACGTTTAAAGCTGTTTTTTGTTTTCGTCCACATCTTTTTAACGGTTTTTATGGGTTTATCACTGTTAAAAAGTGGACGTAAACTAAAATGTTTAATGTAATAGCAATAAAGATCATATTGGAAGAAAAAATTGCGTATAAAAAAGTTCATCCCCAATTTTCCACCCTTGGGGGTGAAATATTTTCTTCAAATTCGCATGAAACCACCCTTTTGATAATACCTATTCAACAAAAAAATAATCGTTCAAATTGATTTATAATCGGCGGAGATATTGCGTATAAAAAAGTTCATCCCCAATTTTCCACCCTTGGGGGTTGTTTTTTCTATTATTAAATTTAAATGGGACCACCCTTGAGGTATTTATTACCTATACGCTGAAAAAAGATTTGTTTAAATCGGTTCATAATTGGCGGAGTTAAGTTAAAAAAAAACATACGGGTCGAATTGAGAACCTCCTCCTTTTTTTGAAGTCGGTTGAAAATTTCGCATTCATGTTAGTTAACTCTCTTGAATTCAGAATAGGAATTTTAACTTTACTTTTTGTCATTACTACCTACTACCGTGCTAACCATAATATCCAGTCTATCATCTCATCTGAAAGAGCTGACCAATATACTCAGTTTTGCCAAAACTGGAGTTACTTACTGCTGTGCTGATAATATCTCTAGCACTGCAGACTGCAGACTAGATTTCTTGCCAAAAACATAAACATGAATTAAAAGTTATAATAACCA